AAGCAAAGATTAAGGACGAATGGCAAGATCACAAAGAAGAGGAACAGGCCGGTTTTAGAGCTGGCAGGCCCATGTTAGATCTTTTGTTTCTTATGTCCAGGTTATTGAGAAGAAAATGGCCGTAGCTCAGGAGATGCATTTAATTTTTGTGAATCTCCAATAGGTGTATAACAGTGTGCTGTTGGTGAGACGTTCGGAGGCCTTGGAAAAATCGAATTTTAACAGGGGTTGATTAATGCTGTCAAGCGATTTTATAAAAGGAGTTTTACCAAAATTAAGTGTCTAGGGGTTGGGGGGGTTTGTCAGCGGGATTTTATGTAATTAAGGGTTTAAAACAGGTATGTTGTTTTATTTTTTTGCTGTTTTACCTTAATGGCCTGTTTTTACCTCAATTTTGGCTCATAAAAAGTCGGTAATCAGCTGTAAGCAAGAAATGTTGAGTTTTTCAGTCGAAAGGTGTCTTCTACTTTAGACATATGTATATTTGAACGTGGTATTCGATGGTATTCGTTACTTATCCGTATAAAAGTGATTTATTAGGATTCTCGGCATCTTGAATCAAATTTTGGCACCATTCAAGTTTGGTATTACCGGCGAAATTTTGATTTTCATGTAGTCATAACCCCAAATTTGTTAATTAAGTCAAAAAATACCATTGAATCTATACCCTACACGACTCTATCGATGAATTTCCTGTTCTAGGCCCAAAAAAGTCCATTTTTGGCGCCAAAATTCCCTATTAGACTTCTGAGGATGATTCTGCGTAGTGTTCTAGTCGCAGATAAAAATGTTTGACGCAAGTAACCCATGAAACCACACCTCATTTGTTGTAATTTGTTGTATAAACACATTTTTGCCCTAAATATGCCCCAAAATGGCCTATTTTTCGAATTTTGGCAAACCCAGTGGGTTGTATCGAATTTTCGACCGAAAATTCGAGTTTTGCGAGTAAAATTACATAGGAACCGTTACCTCACTTGCCAAATTAAAATTCCGGAGGAAGATGCTGAGCTAGGGGATTTTTAACAATTCATCATTTTGAATTTTGGCCGCCATATTGAGGCCAAAAACGAGAGTCAACATTCCTGATCTTTCGTCTGCGGGCTAAGCATATCCTCAAGAAAATCTGTGCAAAATTTCAAACAAAAAGATGTATTTCCCTCCGAGTTACAGATTTTACGCCGCCCCAGGGTCTGTTTTCCCCCCTGTGCGTAGGAGAAAAACCGCAAAAAGCGCCAATTTCGGTGCCTTTTTTCAGTTTGCCGCGCGTTTAATTTTGCCGTGAGCAGAAAGCATAGGATCCAGCTAGTAGAAAATTTAACAAGTTTCAACTATGGAAATTACCAATTTTGTCGTCAGATCTACCTCTGGCAAGTTAAAGGCCAAAATCTGCAAAGAAAGGCCAATTTTAAGCCATTTTTGCCAAATTTGGCAACTTTCGGGCTACAATTTTTCGATGTAATGTGAAAATTCGGATTCAGCGTTAAAAATTACACAGGAAATCATGGAATTAATGCTACCTGCCGTTTTTGAAGGCTAAAATTTCTATATGCCTGGACTTAACAAGGGCCATCGCTCCAAAAAGCTGTTCACAAAAATAGCCATATCTTGCGAACAAAACATTTCTATGCGACGTATAATATATCGATGGAGGCAAAATCAAACGAACTATCGAATAGACAACTTTTTATTCAAATCAAAATAGAGCCCTTTTTGGATATTTGAGGATTTGTAAAAATTTATGAATTTAAAAATCGAAAAATTGGCAACAATGCATGTTAAAATTTATAGGCAATTAAAATCATGAAGATATCTTTGAACTGCGCATTTTTTAGAAAATTTTCGTCAAAACCGCGACTTCATAGCTCAATTTTAATGCCACCTATGGAATTTTCACGGTTCCAACATGGCAACGCTGTAGCGTGCGAGGAGAATTTTTGGTGAACTTGCCATTGCTGGTAAAAGGCGTGTCCTGTGAAAGGGAACAACATATCCAACTCCCGGAAAAATCCATTAGTGGGGTTAAAACGCCGATTTTTAATTACCCTCTTTAACTATAATATAAATACAATTTTAACTTAAATTAGGATATACTACCTCTGTAAAATGAGCAGGGAGACAAGTGCATGATTATCATGTACCAACTAAAAATGTCTTTTGGTTTTATTTTTAAAACTTCTTTTGTTTTAATTTTACTCGATCGGTCGATCGTTACCGGTCAAAGATCAAGGAACGCCTGATACATCCGAAGATGCGGGAAGGCACAGTTGCTTTTAGGGAAGAATTTTGAGAACTCCTGAATTTTAAGCTGGTGGGGCTTACGTTGCTTTAGCCTACGTATGCACCAGTCCCGTCCCAGGGGCGTAAACGCTTCCGAGTTGGGGTGACGATGCAACTGTGTCTCATGCGCAAAGTACATCTTGGTGATGTAATCCTCAGCTGAGTCAATGTTGAGGTCAGCGCGAATATCCGCGTTCCTCTCGTACCATTTTGCTTTAAGAATGCTGCGTAAAACTTTCATCTGATTTACCGCAATTTTGTCTAGATTTGAATTGGCTGTGCAACCCCACAATTGGCAACCATAACTCCAAACCGGTCTCAACATTAACTTGTTGAGAAGCAACTTTAGTTTTAGAGGAAGTCGCCTCCTCCGAGGGCGTCCTCAATTTTTGTGACCCTGTGAAGTTGGTCCGACATGGTATATTGTGCTCTGAACCCAGATTGAGCATCGATAATTAAATTTTTATGTCTCACTTTTTCATTTTGGGATACTTAGTAGCCGCCCATATTTATCCGCTTTTGCTAAAAGTGGATGTATAAAGTTTTCGTCCTTGGTGATCCCTCTGTGTGATCTCGCAGAACAAAGTGCCCTCTCTAGGTGGCTTGTATCCCTTCAATTTTGAGTTGAATCCAAAGATCTTTTAGGAACTTAAATACCGGGAGTTCCAGAGCACCCATCCACTATCTTTTTCTCGGAAACGGCCGAAAATTGAGCTTTGTGACGATGACTAACCGGAGTAAATCAATCCCAAAGAATTCAATGAAAATATTTTCAGCCCCGCATCCCATTGGGGGGGGGGGGTTAAATGATTTGGCATATGGCCTATTTGCTCCAAATTACTTTAGAACCTCATTTCCCCATAAGGAGCCGTGTATTTTTGGAGGAGAAAAAGGGCAAAATTAATTTGGGACATATTTCTACGCAACTTTTTGCGTAGTATCCAAATCTAAAGTCAAAACATACCCTTGTCGTTTGAAATTTTTGACTTACAGCCCTCCAAAGCCTCAAAATTTTCGAGGAATCGCGGCCCTCGTAATTTTGGAAAACCATGCGTCATATGGCACATCTATAAAAAGGTATTGACCTCATCTCCTAGGAGACTTTTAGATGTTGGAAATCGGATAATTTTAACGCCTTCAGTGCAGAATTGAAATCTTTCCAAAAAAGCCCCAAAATGCCCCGTAACTCCAAAAAATGGGGGCATAGGGAAAAAGTGTATACAACAAAAATTTCTTATTTTTGGCCATGGAATTTAAATCCGAAGTCAAAACATGCCCTTCCTACTGGAAATATGAGAGAAACGGGGGGCACCCGCCTTAAACCTCCCCCATAATGGGGTTTTGGGGGGCTGAAAATATTTTCATTGCGTTCTTTGGGATCGATTTATCTCAGTTAGTCATCCTCCCGAAGCTCAATTTTCGGCCGTTTCCGAGAGAAAGATACTGGACGGGTGCGGTAGAACATCCGGTATATGACCCAGGTGGTGCTTGATGGCCACTTTCAAAGATTTAAAGGCATTTTTTCAGAATTTACAGTGTTTTAAAGTGAGCCTTCCGTGTGAATTTGATAAAAATCATGTTTTGCCCCTAGCCTTCCTAAATTTTGGTGTACCCCAAAAATAATTTGACGTGCATATGGTGACCATAAATATGGTCAAATATGGTAAAGTATGCTATTTTAAACGATTTTTCGTCCAAACCGGGCCTCAATATCTTTTTTTGTTCGAAAGATATCGAGGTCCACACGTTTTGACTTAAACCCCCCCCCCCCCCCCCCCCCCNGGGGGGGGGGGGGGGGGGGGGGGGGGGGGGGGGGGGGGGGGGGGGGGGGGGGGGGGGGGGGGGGGGGGGGGGGGGGGGGGGGGGGGGGGGGGGGCGAAAAAAGTCGTTTTTGCATATGGCTCGTTTGAATGACATTGAACCGATAGATTTTGAGATATGGCTGTACAGTGTACACAGATTCAGGGGACGCCAAATGACACACATTTTTTCAAGTCTACGTATTTTTGCACCAGGCATCTTGAAACACGTAGAAATGATGAAAAAATATCACCTTTTTCTCTTTTTTGGATGATGAAAGTACTTCCTCTATCCATGAGGGAGGGAGAAAGTAAATGATTCGTAGGGCGTTTTAATGCTTTCTGATTTAAGGGGCTTGACAGACAAGGCGCATAAGTGCAGTTTCTACGATTTCGAGAAATACGTGTTTGAAGTTTCGAAATTACACGGATCTTTAAGATGGAAAGAAAGTTCAAAGTAACTTTTTGATGCTTAAAAATTGGAACTCAGGCGCGAATTTTTCACAGAAATTGTATTATGACCAGTTTTACTTGAAATAATTAATATATTAATTTTTCAAAAACTGCACTCATGCACCTTGTCCTCCAAGCCCCTCATTTTTACTTAATCTGGTAGGGAAGAGGGGGGGGGGAGAAACAGGAAAAAAGCCTGATGCCATCAATGTAAGGCCCATTCGAAGCTCTTTGAGACTTTTCAAGCTTAATTGTTTTCCAAAGAAAATAGTTCTAGCATATTAGTACTGAAAAGTTCTTTTTTTAGGATATGATTTTATGGGTTTGTGATTGAAAATCCTTTCACGAATATAGAGGGAATATTTGAATATTGAAGGGAAGATTTTTTTTCCATCCCTGCTTTCTTATGGTTCAAAATAGTGAAAGCACCCTGAAATGTTACATCTTGTTCTAATTTTATGTTTTCAGGCAGGAAACTGGCTTCGGACCAATGTTCAAAACTTTAGCAACAGGAGTTTGAGAAAGTCAGGGACAGGGAGTGCATCTTGCTGCAGCCCTCTTGGTGGCGGCATTCCAAGAGACAAATCAAGCTTCAACTTCACTTTTGATCAGTCGTATAAATCTCTGGGCTTCTCGTCATTCAACTCTTACGGAGGAGGGTCCTTAGAAAGCATTGTGTCAGAGCTCAGCATTGATATCTCAACTCTCTGTGAAACACCACATGATCAAACTGCAATTTCTTTGTTTGACAAGCTACAGCAGGAGATAGTTCAACTAAAATCGAATTGTGATTCAATGACTGAGGATTTTACGCAGGTCAAGCATAATAGATATCTACCAGGTTTATCGAATTTGCTGGAAACAAGCGGCAAATTTGGTTTTAGCTCTGGGACCACAGTAGATGAGAATTATTTTGATCGACAGCAAGCAAAAGATTGTTTCAGAGGTATTTCTTTTTGACTGCTCTATTTGAATCTAGAACTTTGTTTTGCATATCTGCACAAGCTCGTGTATATTCTCTCATTTTTTCCCGTATTATTTCAGAGTTTCAACCAACTTGTGCTCAATGAAGTATAGAGTAGGATAGGTTCTCCTTGTTTTGTTATGAGAGTTGCTCAACAGCGACGGTAGATGGCATGAGGATCTCACTTTTGTGTCATACCTCGGGACATATTCATGACAGCGTTTTGATGCCGTCTTGGATTATGCAGGATGCTAAGTTGGGTTCACTAGCGAAGGTGATCTACTGATGAGGTCTAAAAAGACTCAAACCAGTATAGATCTCTCGGCGTGACGTCAACTGAATATTCCAATGCAAGCTGCCTAAGCTGAACATCCCCCCCCCCCCTCAGTCTTGTACCGGTACTCAGACCCAGTTCATTTTATTTGTCGTACTGTTTCGTGCATTTTGATGTATTATACCTCCCTGGGAAACGATTAGTGTGCGAGATATGAGTATCAAAGTTTACGCTTTGCGCGCATCGACCGGAATCCGGGCGCTTGGAGTTGTCTGCACACCCCCTTCCTTGCCACCAACAAGCTTCATAAGGTCCTACTTAAGTATTTTTTTGCGTACTTTCCATTTCTAGCCTTTCAAAGGCCTCTGATGAATTTTTAGGGGCCTTACAGTGCATTGTTGACATTTTTGACCCATTTTTATGGTTTTTTTTCAATTTTACTGAAGTAAGTAAATTTTAATTTGATCTGAAAACAGTGTACGTTTTTGGAAGGAACTTAGAAAGATGAACAACACTATTCGTGTAACTTTTTCATTGCCAAAGTTACATTGCCAAATTTTCAAGAAAATCGTCTAAAGAGCCAAAAATGGCAAAAATTTCATAAATCACCACGCCTTAAATTCAAGAAAGTGGAATGCAACTCTCATAGTGACGTGCGTAACGGCTCTTACCGATCCATACAACAGATCAAAAAAGCTTAGTTGTATGTAGATTCCCACGTTGTGAAAATTGACGAAAATTTCATGTTTTGCGATCTTTTCTATATTTAAGGTAGCTCTCTCAAATGTTTTTTGATCTTTAGTCACACTCCTCATTGATGTACGATATGTATTTTGTTCTGTATTTTTCATTTTTTACCATAAAATGGCTTCTGATTAATTTCAAGGAGCCTCAGGGTCCACTTTTGCCAATTTTGGCTAATTTTTACAGGTTTTTCACTTCGGCACGTGTTAAACTTAATTCAACCTAAAAATGGGCACATTTTTGGAAATAACGCAAATAATTACATCTATAATGATCTTTGTAACTTTCCTTGCGTTTCCAAGTTCTTGAGAAAAATCGTCCTAAAGTGCCAAAAATTGGATCATTTATTACGTCGGTGAGACGAATCGTAATTTTCCTTGTTAGATATGTTATTTGTAGTGAGAGGAACTTAAAATTCACATTTCCCATCTGAAAGTCATCATTCACTTCTTACAACCTTTGACATGATAATTAATCCAATTTTCGTTACTCTAGAATGATTGTTCTTGAAAATTTGACAACAGGGGAAAAAATTGCACAAATAGTGTTATTCATCTTTTTAGGTTCCTTCCAAAACGTACACAGGTTTTGGTGGCAGCTGCCAAGATGGCAAGGCTACTTAGGGCCTCAGGCGGGCACTATGAGCTGTAAGTTTCAAAATTTATGTCTAGACACGCCTGACCAAGGTTTTACCTACATGCAAAAATAATTCTCTTGGGTAAGGCTTGACGGCAGGATGAAGAAGGTTAAAGAATTCATTACGAATGAATTACCATTTGAAATATCATTTTAGAAATTCAGTGAAATTGAATCCATATTGATTTTTTTTCAGGCCTCTATAGTTTAACTACCCTTAGCAATAGTATATCTTTTGAACTCTCTGAATGCGAAGATATTAGCTCTCAGACCAGTTCTAGTGGTCGACGAAAAGGTTTTGATTTTAAACAGGAGGAATTCCCCAGTCTTGAATGGGATGAATGTGATATAGAAGTTGAAGATACCAATGAATGCTTGTAAGTATTTTTTATCTACATATTTATTTATAAGGTAAATTGTGTCCAGTGTGGCAATCGTGTGAAAACCGCTTTTGTTTATTTTTCTAATCTTGAGTTTTTTTGGGTTAATGATACTTTTCCGAGTTACATGTAACCATGAAAGTGACGTTAATACTCGATTTAGGGTTAGCTTAATTCCAAAAAAGGACTTGCACCACTTTCATGATTGTATCAACTTTTGAAAAGTATTAACAATGTAAATAATTGAAAACTGGAAGAATGGACACCAGCGGTTTTCGCACGACACAATTCAAATGAACTTTCATACCCTCCCTGGCAAGGGCCAGCGATCCATTCTGGGGCCATTCTGTAAATGTCCCCCCAAGTACTAGTAGTTGGAACTAATTACGGGAGGGGTGGGGGACATTGGGGCAAGCCCCCTTCCCCAGAAACTTATTTGGCCCCTCTGGTCCTTTGGTAATATGAGGGATTTTGCTAAGTAGATGTGTTACGTATATTTCATCTTGAAATTTTAATTCAATCAATGTTTGGGTAAAAACGACTGGAAATTGCTCTTGGAATGACTCAATTTTTCAAAATTTTCTGGAGGAAGCCCTCTGGACTCTCCTTTAAGACCGGAGGAAGGGGTTGGGGGAGTTCAAACAATCCTCCTTAACGGGGCGTTACTTAAGTTTACAATTTTCTTAATGAAATCATTTTTAATTATAAAATGTTCCAAATTTTGAAAAGCAGATTTTTCTTCTTTACAATGGCTTTGTATACAATATTAATTTATTAAGAATACTTGTCATTAAGGGCACGTCACGGCCAGTCAGGGGGCTTACCCCCCAGGATGGACCCCCATCACTTGCTCCACGAGTGATTGTGGCTTGTGTGGTGAGCCACATTCCTGTCACTACCACTTTGATTACATTCGAGAAAGGTCCAGAAACAAATGCCACTCGCTGTCTTGCAATACACTTTCAAAAGTGCAAAAATATTCTAGAAAGCCCCCAAAAGGGCACGAAGAGGGCCTCAATTTAATTGTGCATTGCCTGAAGAAAATTTGAGAGTCTGAAAAAATTCAAGAAAAGCTATTGTCAGTCATGAAATCCTACGAAAATCTAAAAAAGTTCTGTAAAGTTCTGGAGAGGATTAATGAGGGTCATCGTTTTACTAACGGTCACCTGAATGATGAAAATTCGAGAGAGTTCTAGAAAGTTCTAGAAACAGTTACTACTAGTCACCATGTGACACCCGCCTTTTGTCTAGGAAAATTCTAGAAAGTTTTGGGAGGACGAAAGGGGAGCCTCCCCGGTACCTACTGGCTGTAAAGCTCGTAGAAACTGAAGACAGGGATGGAAATTATTACTGGCTGCGGCTGCGTTGTGTTCTAGGAGCCGATGAGCGCGGCGCGATATGGAGTGCGGGCGGTGGGGCGGGGTCTCAGCCCAGCAGCCGGCGGGGGACGGGCGTCACGCGCGGGAGGGGAATTTTCTGCGCGAATTTTGAGCGCGCTATCAGCTGTAATATAATGATTCCCTTTCAATGAAAGAAAAGGAAATTGAAATCTGTTCCTTAGAGGCAGAGCTGAAGCGATTAGAAAAGTCATCTTGAATAGCTGCCATCAAGGGCTCTGCCAACATTTGAGAAATGTCTCTCAGCCTCAAAATGCCTCTATTATGATCTAGTTTTGACTTCTGATGGCCAGCAAGTTAAATCACTATTCGCAGTTTATTTGCCACAAGCTACTGTACTGCAAGCAAGCGTTCAGGAGGTAGTGAGGGGTGTCTAGGGACTGGAAACCCTCTCCCATACATAGGTTCAAGCGTTGTATTATTAAGTATGTAAATGCTCTGTTGTAATCTCCAAGTTCTTGAACTGCTTTCTCAATGACCAAGTAGTTTCATTGAACTTTTCCCAGATGTCGTAGATTATATTAAAAAGGATTTTGCTGCACATCCTCTGCATATGAGACAAATAGGTCTAATTTTAGCTGTTTTATTTAATGTTGCAGAGAGATAAATCGATCTAGTGGTTACAACAGTACAATAATTGACTCTAGCTCCTCATGTCAAATAATGACTGACTCGCACATCTGGAGCAGTGAAGGGGATCTATTCCCAGAACTAGAAGCTACCAAAACATCTGAAGCATTGTGCTCAGAACCAAAGGATTATTCTGTAAAGGCTTCAGGTCATAATTGTAACAATCAAAGGAATGCCTCCATACAACTGTCAAATGATATCGTACTGAGGTAAGTAGAAGTAACTGTTTCTCACCACACCGTAAAAAAGGACTGCCATTTTGATCGTTGCGACTGCTAAAAGAACATCCGTTGGATAATGAAAACGACGCAGCAACCCAGTTCTTAAAATAACATCACGTTTGTCTGTTATTATAACCGGCGCTGTGCTGCCACATTGACAGTAAATGAATATAACACTGACAGCAAAATCTGGTGAACCTACATCAATTAGCGTGTTATACTGGCAGCGCAGCTGCTGGCGTAAATGCCGATTCCCCTCGAGATTTACATCCACGCTGCTCTCATGAAAGGTGGTTCGTTCTTGCATTTGAATCCACGGTACTCTTGATGTAGCAGCGCTGCTGCTGATGCTAAAACAACTTCGCTCTTGAATTTTCATTCACTCTGCTGTTAATGTAGCGGACATGATCCTGAGCAGCTGATAAAAATCATGGTCATACTTACATGCTTACGTAAGTAGCTGATAATTGCTTAACTGGTTTGAAGTGAATGATACATAAACCATAGATATCATTCCAGTCAAAGTATCATTTACCGACTAAATCAGTTTCACAATGAGTTGATTTAAAAATTTAAATAATTTAACTGCACAAAAACCCCACACAAAGTATATGAGGACTTATCTGTAGCAATAGCAGGTGTCGAGTTAATACATGGTGAGAAAATCGCGTTTGAAGTTTTTGAAGCTTTGCACTTTTCCGCCCGTAGAACCTAGAGGATTTTTATAAAGATTTTCATGAAGAGCAACTCTTCCGGTAAAAAACACACGTTTTACGATCTATGTAAGTGAAAAATTGAAGGAGTAACAGGGATTTGAAAAAAATGTGACATCCGCTATTTTTAATGAAAACACTTTTTAATGCATGAGACAGAGTCTTCAGGAAGGGTAAGGCTGGTGAAACGATTGAAATGAACCAAAAGCAAGTCAATGCTGAGTCATTTAACAAAATTAAACAAGAAACTAAACCGTTTGTAACTTTTACAACAAAAACAAGGAACAAATTCTAAAATCAGTTATAAATTCAACAATTCTGGCGAGACGGTCCCGATATGTATAATTTGAGTGTCAGCTACAGCCCATGGCCGATGGGCGGGCAGTTATCGCAAGTGGGTTCGAATCTTCACAGTGTCCTGCCGCGCCGGCTGGTGAAAACAGTGGTTTCTCACATCTGCTGTTTTTACAAATAACATGGTTTTCAGTTCATATCTCGCCGAAAAATTGCGCTGGAAGTCTGGAACTTTGCATAGGCATTCTTGGAGGCTCTAGATTTTGAAAAAAGCGTCCCTAAAAATGGCGGACGTCAGCGACCGCTATTGTTACACATATGTCCTCATATATCTTTGCAGTCTCTGGTGGGGCAGAATTTAACATGCCTTAGGGGTCGTTAACAAATTAAGTGAGGCACAATTTAAACCCTTCCTCTTCACCGGTTATTTTCTTTTTTTCCAAATAATGCAACTTTTCACTCGCAGCTTAGCCAGATATCGCACACACACTATTACGCATGGAAACACTCTCTCCGTCATTTTACTAAGACAACATCACATTGGCATCCTCAATAAAAAACAGCATCAGAACCAAACAGCCGATCATGCTTATGAGTCAAAAATACCAAGAATTGAATTCTAAGAGGTTTCAAACCATTCTACCAAGACTCGGATTTGCTAAATAATCACTTCATTTCTTTTCAAAACAACCGAAATTTATTTAAACTAAAGAAAGGAAAAAATCACACAACAGAATTAGGATTCCGCACGAAACCCATTGAAAAGTATAGGAGACGGGGCTGATGGTACATTCTTCAGGAAAGAAATCAAAAGCGTGCTTGCATATGAATATGTAAGGCACGGTATAAATAATAATTGAATCTATTGGATGCATAATGGAGTTGAGAGTGCATATGTCGCAGGCAAATAGTGAAATCAGGCATTTTGTCAAATGCCTAGGCTGATAGTCAAATTTTGACGGTCCACACAATTTTATGAAATTATGGCGAAAAGCTCACGATTTTTCACTATTTTTGGAAAAATAACTCATCAAACCTACGAACTCTTTTGGTCTCTTCCTCTTCAATTGCTTATCATATTTCTAAATGTTGAAATTCCAAAAATTCCGTATTTTACGACCTGCTGAAAATTTCAAGATCAGTGTCTCTTCGGGAGCTAAAAATTGTTTAAAATACTATTGTGTGTGCAAACTTTTACTGAGAATTTATTCTTGCAGGAGCAATGAATGATTTTGTCTGAAATTAGGAAAAGAATCAGAATTTCAATCTAAGTTAGAATATTTGACTATTTGCCTAGGCATTTGAGAAAATGCCTGATTTTACTATTTGCCTGCGACACATATAATGTCAACAGTGAAGTTGGAACAAAAATTCAGCACAAAAATATGTCAGAAGAAATTCAAAGTTGAAAGAATTCATGATGATTCTTCAAAAAATGACTTCTACCTGCAACTGATTCCAGCATGCCCAAATTTGCTCATATCGTAAGAGTTACTTTCCTACAGAGCCACTAATTTTGCAGATCGTACACTAGGTATTACAACTTATTCACTTTTTCCACCAAAATTCATTCGCTAACAAAATCTGAGCACGTTTTCGAAATGCAAGCGCAAGACTTCTCTGACACGAAATCTCTGACCGTTGAGCCAACGCGATAACTGCGGACAGTAACATGGCCGCCTCAGTAAACAGATTGGAAGCCAAAAGAAAAAACAACCGAACACCAGTCAACGGTTGGAGTTCTGGTTATGTCCCTGACCGTCCCTTTGTCAGATTGGCGTGCAACCCTTGAGATGGAGGGTGGACAGTGAAGGGTAAAGAGATGTTTTCTCTGTCACTGCTCGCAGCGGGACTATCGACGTTCGACGATTGTATACAGGGTTATCTAAAAGTCACCTACCACCCCTGTATTTTTTTTCCTAATGGAGATAGAAGTTTGAAACTTTGGGAATGTCCCTCGGTTCTAGGTAGCAACTTTTTGGTCCCCCCAAAATTTTGGGGAGCGGCCCCCCTTAAGGGGGGCGGGGGCTAACATTTTTGTTTCAAATGGCAACCCCCCTTTTGTGATACCTCATTCAAAAGATAATAAAAAAAGAAAATTTTTGGCGCAAACCGCAGGTCAATATGTTGATTTTTGACAAAATTTAAAACCTAAACGAATGTCAAAATAACGCATGGACTGTATAATCAACAGTCAATAACGGTCATCCCAAAAGTTTCAAGAACTGTTGATTTAATGAACCGCAGCTGATGTTAACTTAGCAGTCATGTGATAATGGAATAACATAAAAAATGTTATCACAAGAGCATCAGCAAGATGTTGAAAAAAAAACATTCAAAGTGAATGTTAAAATGGGAATCTTTTTTCCCATGCAAATCATTTCTTGCCAGCAGGAATTAAGTTTCAAAAGCTCTACTATTTCATTTTTTTACAGTACTACATGAAACTAGCCTCATGACTTCCCAGGTATTTTGCCCAACAATGTTCACACAGAAAGAAAAATCACGCAAGTTTGTATGACATAATTGAAATGGTTTCTCAAATAAAAAGTATCAGTAGAACAGTGTTAAAATGTCACTTAAGCAACTAACTTACCTATTGCAACTAGCATCAGTTAAAACTTCTAATGTGAGTTGAGATCAATTGAAATTGTAAATATTTATCTGGCATTTAAATACTGTGCTAACAGGTTTTTTTTTTTTTTTTTTTTTTTTTTTTTTTTTTTTTTTTTTTTTATCAGGGTTCCCATTAAAAAAATAAAGAAGGGAAGATAGCTTGCAACAAGAGGGAGGAGTATGTAGATCACGCATATAGGAAAAAAGCCAAGTTATTTTTTCTTTTTTTTTTATGTCTTTTGCAATACCCCCTATTACTGAAAATATAAATTAATGAGCATATGTTTTGGTTTCAGCCCTTTTAAAAAGTTAAAGCAAAAAGGATCTGACATCTGTGTTGTTCAAAATATTGGCTGTGCTACTGATCTGTTGGAGTATGCTAGGAAAGAATGGCAAGGAGGCACTCAAAAAGCAACTATCATACTCAAGGTACTTGCCCAAACAAGTGTTCGCTATTTATTCTTCCTCAAAGAATGAATATGCTCTATTTAAATGCATGAATCTTTCAGATAGAAAGATGATTTTCTAACTTCCCTGCGTTAAATTCAACATAGAAAGAGAAAATTCCGTATAAAAGTGAAATCTTCATAGTGGAAGGAAGTAGCTCATCTAAACACAATTTTCTAATAGAGAGTTATGCAATTTGGTGCAGCACTAGTTATGTTCTTTCCCAAAGGTTATTGGAAACATTTATCGACATAAAGTGACCCCTCTCCTTTAATAATTCCTGAATCTTGAAATTGAGAGTTTTTTCCCAACTGTGAGTCAACAAAGGAAGAAAAAATTGCCCAACTCTACAAAGCAAATGGTTTCGTTTGTCATAAAAGTGATTCCCAAAAACCAAATAATGGTCCCCTGCTTGCTTGCTCACTGATAAAAAATTAGTAAAAATTTTGTAATTCCAGTCTCAAAGGACAACTGGACAAGGTAATAATTTAAGGATTCTGATATTTCCTTTTCAAATTTTGCATAGGAGTCATTTCACGTTAACTCAACCAGGCCCCAACTCCCTTAGATTTGGCTGAAAATTGGTATACAGGGTCTTTACATCATTGTAAGAAACTAATTTGAACTGTTTGTCCATCCGACTACCCGTTCAGGAGATATTGACCCTCAAAGGTGGGGTGAGTCTAAGTGTTACTCAAAAAAGCCCGTTTTAGTGATTCTCATTTTCTCGACTTCCCCCACTTTGACTCTCCAAAGCAAGACTCTGTATCAATCCATAATACTTACAAAGAGTGCTCTCTTTTGTTTCTGTTCCCACCTCGATAATGAAATTATCAAAAACAAATTCACTGAAATCCTTGAAACTAACTTCCAAAACTGTGAAAAAATATATACTGATGGATCAAAAGCCCATGATAAAGGAACGGTAACCTGCGCATTCATACATGAAAACACCCAAATCGATTTTAAACTTCCCCCCTCTATTCGATAGCTTCAGCTCTGAAGCCTTTGCCATCCTTCAAGCATTAAACCACATCAAAACAACCCAAATAAATAATAATTATCTAATTATCTCCGATTCCAAAAGCTGCATTGACGCCATAGCAAACCCTTATAACTTCCCTATAAACTATCTCATTATCAATATACTTAAAGAACTCCAAAACCTTAATCACCCCGAAACCAAAATAAAACTCCTATGGATCCCTTCTCATATCGGCATTCCAGGTAACGAAAAAGTGGATAAACTATGCAACAAAATTGAATTAGCTCTGGACAAAACTAACACCCCTATCCCCCACAATAACCTCTTCCCCCAAGTTAAAATAGAATTACTCACTGACTGGCAGAAGGACTGGGACCACACAGCAAAATTTAAAGGGAAAAGACTCCACCAAATACAACCCAAAATAAAAATTAAACCCTGGTTTCAAAATCTAAACTGGAGCAAATCAACCATTAACAAAATAACAAAAATCAGAATCGGACATGGGAACTTTCCAGCCCATAATTTTAAAATTAAAACAGCCGCTACCAACTTCTGTCAATGTAAACAAATCGGAACCATCGAACACATCCTCCTCGAATGCCGAAATAACAAAACAAACCTCAAATACCAACTCTCTAAACACATCAAATTCCCAACAACCCTCATACAAATTCTTCAAAACCCTGAACCCATCGTATACAAAAAAATAGCCATCTTTCTCTCTCACAACAAAATCCAACTATAAACATCATCTATCCTCTTACTCATAACTATACTCATCTCTTCATGTCTCTACCCAACAACTTCCTGGAATCTGGATATATGTTTTCCATGGCTCAGTCCTAGGTTAGCATCACAAGTCGTTCCAGTTGAGCCTCTGTGAACGTGAATCAGCCTAGGCCTTCAACTAACTATCATAAAACAAATAAATCTAACTCCAACTTATAAAACTCTTCTAATCTTCTATCCCTTTTAAATCATCTCAAATCTCTAAATCTAAACCTAATTAACACTCCTATCCTTCTATACCTAAAACAAACTAACAAATTACCCTCTTAATATTTCCAGACCCCATCCAAGGCCGCAGTATCTACCCGATAGAACGCCTTAAAACCATATAAAAAAAAAAGAAAGAAAATGTGCTACGACATGAAAATTTGGCCTAGTGACTCTTCATAGTTTCTAGTTATACCCTTTAGCGGTAGAACCCGGATATTTTCCACCGTTGCCAAGTTACAGCAAAATTCCGGTTTTTTTGGGTCCCTCCTCATAGGTGTTTTGTCTTTATTTTTTGGTGACAAGGGCTCTTTACGGAGGGCTCAGTTAATTTGAGTAATTTTTACGAAGTTATGAATTTTTTAGTGTCAAGGGATACATACACTTTTTACACTTCCATGGCCCTCTATTCCGTTAAGTTCAGCTAGTGGGCCGAGGTGGTGAAGTTTCATTCCATCTCCTTCCCCTCTCATTCCTCTCCTATCTCATCGTCGTTTGGACTCTTATTTGGCAAAAGGGGGGTAAAAACTTCCAAGATTTGACTATCTTAAAACATTAATGTAGTAAATTCTTGGAATTTTTTGTCAACCACTCCCACAACTTGCACTTTCTTTGTCTTCCTCTCCAGAATATTCCGGCAGGCAGTCGTTCTGGAAAATAAGGTAAGCAGTCCCTTCCTGTATTCTGAAGAGTATTCTATAGAGTGTGTGCCGAACAATCCTGCGCCGAGCAATCTTGTACCGAACAATCCTGCACCGAAACCGCGCCAAAAAGTCCGGACAGCTCATTTCCATGTTTGCGTTTTTACCTCTTATTCCATTTTCCCGGCACACTCGTTTCTCTGCCTCTGTCATTCAAATATCGTCAGTGAAATTGTTAAAAACTTCATTGTTCTGGAAGTTTAGACCTTCCAGGTTACTCCTATGCCTTCGGTTTTTCCTTGTAATACGTTGCATTTTTACCATGAATGTCCCCTTGTTGTAATGGGCCCGTCCCAATGTGCAACGGTTTTGGCAGACTTGTAACAAGCAGGGTTTCTTCTCTGCCCTGTATTGTTCAAAGTGTAACCAACAAGCAACAGCTGAGCCAAAGTTCCCTGATTGAGGTTACCATATTTTTATATTGCAAAGACTGTTACGGTAACGATTACTGTGCGTTTTAACTTTCTTCGATAATGGTCTTTTTAATGAGGGGCTAGTTTGAATTTATGCATTGAAAAACATCAATATCTCAGTTGGAGACTCCTTCAATAAATTTTGTTGCACAAATCGAGTTCTTCATGAGTTACGAATGAGAAGCCATCTATCATAATGCTTAAATTTTCACCTTGTATCCATCGTGTTTCTAGCCTTTCTAGGCTCACTAGGGAGGAGGTCTTGGAATTTTTTTTATCCAAAAAGTAATTAACATGCCTTTAAGTACTGCGGAATGTGAATTTAGACTCCAAAAATGAGCACTGGCCAATTCCTATCATGGTTAAAAAGTATGATCGAATCAGCATAGTATTTATGAATTATTGAAGTAATTTTTCATTAAAATGAAGGCTGCAACTTCTTAACATTTTTTTAAAACGAGCAAAACCGTTTATTAGGCGTCTAATAAATGGCAATTCACAACTTTTCCACACTTAAATGTTTTGAATTGTCACAAAAGCTGTTTTTTGGCCTACCGCAGGAGACTTTTTGGCAGAAATTAACCAAAAATAGTCAGATTAACCTAATGAATTCTGCAAGCAACATGTGGTTAATGCCGTCAACCATCTACAGGGCGCAGAGGAGGGTAAAAAACAGCAGACAGAAAAGGAAATTAATGTTTCGTAATAAATGTCATTTTGTCTTAAAAAAACTTCTCTCTGTCAGTGGCTTTTCTAAAAACGAATTAGAAGTAGAGTATACTCTTGAGGTATGGTCTGCTTTTCGAGAAACTTTACAGTGTCAGAGACAGCAATGTCTACACACCTGAAATTTTTTCTTTTTCAGCAAAGTGCATAGTCTCTTTCTCTAAGTAGAGTACCATTTTAAAATTGAAATTAGTATGATAGACACTCAACCAAGTTGAAAATCTACCTGTTCAATCTATTACAAAACGAATGGTCTTTTTATGATTTTTTTGTTGCATTTTTTAGGGATATGAAGAAATCCGCAGGAAGCATAGTTACAGGTACTTGCGACGCGTTCGAGGTGACAATTTTTGTGCAATAAGGGCATCACTGTTTCAGTGCCTCTCTTCTGGAATTTCATTACCTAGCTGTGATGAAGCTCTCAAAGTCATTCAGTCAAGTTATGAGTCAGACCAAAATCATTGGCTAAGGCAGTGGAGCTTCATCAACCGGTTGCCTTACAATAAAAATAAACTTTTACCTTCGATTGAAACTTGCCTTCATATTCTTGATGATATCGTAAGTTTAAGTATATTTTTTTTTTATAGATTTCTCTTAAGTACTTACGTTACTACATCATTTGTAATAAATGTTTCACATATCCATCAGCCAGTTTTTCACCAAATTTTTTGACTGTCTTGACAAGCAGGTAAAAGAGCCTTATACTAAAGCGACTTTCCCTCCTCCCTATGGGATTTTGTGCAAACATCATCTATTGTTGATTCATACGTGAGCGTTTCTTTTCCTAAATGGTCGAACCCCTAAAAAATTTTGGAAGTCCTGGGGGGGAAGTCATAACCTGTTAACCGCAATATACAGGGTGGCCCAGACCTACCGTACCAGGCCTTTTTATCGGTTAATTTGGGTCATACGAAGTCCAGGATCGTGGGGATAAATTGGGAATCGACCCCAAGGAATCCGAATTTCATGGTCCCAGAGCCCCCCTGGCGTCCCTTGGAGGGTAAAAGGGGGGTTCGTACTTAAAAAGTCAGGGTTAATGTCAAAATTTTGAAATTATTTCATCGGAATCAGAACGTACGGAAAATTTTAGCTTAAATCGACACCAAGAAATCCAAAATCGGCCCACCCGTGTCCAAAATATTGACCCCTAAAGACGGGGGACAGAGCCCCCTTCCAAAAAAATTCAAGTTCGTTAAATTGACGTGGAGACTCGGAAAAAAATATATATTCATGGATAATCGACCCCAAGGAATCCGAATTTGAGGGTCCCGTTGTCCACAGAGATTTTTCTGATGGGGCGCAGGGGGACTCTGAACTTTCAAATTTAACCGGTGTGGAGGTTACCCCTGTGCCCCATCAGAAAAGTCTCTGTGGACAACGGGACCCTCAAATTCGGATTCCTTGGGGTCGATTATCCATGAATATATATTTTTTTCCGAGTCTCCACGTCAATTTAACGAACTTGAAATATTTTGGAAGGGGGCTCTGTCCCCCGTCTTTAGGGGTCGATATTTTGGACACGGGTGGGCCGATTTTGGATTTCTTGGTGTCGATTTAAGCTAAAATTTTCCGTACGTTCTGATTCCGATGAAATAATTTCAAAATTTTGACATTAACCCTGACTTTTTAAGTACGAACCCCCCTTTTACCTCCCAAGGGGCGCCAGGGGGGCTCTGGGACCATGAAATTCGGATTCCTTGGGGTCGATTCCCTATGCATCCCCGCGATCCTGGACTTCGTATGACCCAAATTAACCGAAAAAAAGGCCTGGTACGGTAGGTCTGGCCCACCCTGTATTTTGAATGAAAAAATATATTGAGGTCTGGTTTTAACAAAAAGTCCTCCAATGTTGATCTGTTGCATGCAAGATGTACCAAATACATGTACTCTTCATGGGTAAAATCACTCGAAAATTACGTTGGGCACGTTAAAAAAGTCCGAAATCCATCCCTTAGCTCGCAATCTGCTTAGTTTGTAACACACTTTTTCAAGCTCCCGCGTCTGCGGGCAGTTTATTTCAGTAACCACCGGCCCGGTTTGCTCAGGCAGATGAGTAAGAAAAATTAACTTGAGTAAACAAACAGTTTCACCAACTTTATCTATTGTATGATTTCAATCGTTTTCAAGTGTTTGTTTCCTTTTTATCTTTATTTTGCAAGAACAAAAGCTTAGAATCAATTGAAATCTTGCACGAGGAGAGTTTTTGAAAGATTGTTTGCTTATTTAGGTTAGGTCTCTCTCTTGGCAAACCTGACTGCCGGCCACCAAGAAAAACTACCCGCATACGCAGTAAAGGAGGAGTATCATTTTGGGCCTTTTCCGGCTCCACCTAGATTTTGCTGAATGATTCATATTTTCAAAGTACTAGTCCTCGGTACACTTTATGCCAAATATTTTACGGAATGGAGCCCATGCAAAGGTGCAGCAACGCCTCAAACCCAAAATCCGGGCATCGAAAAATAGTTATTTTCGTCGACTTTTTCAGCTGTTATCACTCTTCCAGCAGATGACTCCTGTGTATTTTTTTTACGTACTTTCCGTTTCTGGCCTTTTAAAAGGCCTCCGAAAAGTTTTAAGGGGCCCAACGGTCCATTGTTGCCATTTTTGGCCCATTGTAAGGGTTTTTTTTCAATTTTACACAAGCAGAACTCAACTTAAACTAAGAACCGTATATGTTTTTGAAAAGAACGCAAAAAAATGAATAAAAAATGCTAAAATAACAATGAATAAATAAAAAGTGTGAAACTTTTTTCTACGTTGCCAAATTTTCGAGAAAAATCGTTCCAAAGAGCCAAAAATGGCCAAAATTTGATGAACGCTTCGCCTCAGGTTCAAGAAAGTGGGGTACAACTTTTATATTGACGTATGCAACAGCTCTTAACCATACAGGGTTATCCAAAAGTCACCTACCACCCCTGTAACTTTTTTCCTAATAGAGATAGAAGTTTGAAACTTTGGGAATGTTCCTCGGCTTAAGGTAGCAACTTTTTGGTCCCCCCAAAATTTTGGGGAGCGGCCCCCCTCAAGGGGGGCGGGGGCTAAATTTTTTTTTCCAAAGGCAACCCCCCTTTTTGTGATACCTCATTCGAAAGATAATAAAAAAGAAAATTTTTGGCGCGAACCGCAGGTCAAAATGTTGATTTTTGACAAAATAGCGGCCGGTCAAAGTTAAAAATGGCGGAAATTTGGCATCTCCGTTTTTTATCGGCGGATTGGTCTGAAACTCAGAATCCCAAAGTTTTTCGGGACGAGAAAAACGATTCTGGCGTTAGTTTTCTAGAAATGTCAGTCCTTTTCAAAATGGCGGCTTAGAGCGGGAAGTGGATATTTAGGTTGCTTATCGTCGGATTCGTATGAGACTTGGTATCCGGGGGTATTTCGGCACGAGAAGAACGAATCTTTCATTGGATTTTTGAAATTTTTAAAAACTTTAAAATGGCGGCAAAAATGCGAATGGCGATGGTGGATGCGGATTTTCCGTTATTTTTCCGCCACCATTACGACGATATTCAGTGTTTCAAGAATCTAATGAAAGATTAATTTTTTTTTAGCCAAAAACCACCAGAGTATTGACTTTTGTGCAAATCCATCGGTAAACAGCCTTGATATGGATTTTCCGTCATTTTTTCGCCGCCATTTTAAAGTTTTTAAAAATTTCAAAAATCCAATGAAAGATTCGTTCTTCTCGTGCCGAAATACCCCCGGATATCTAGTCTCATACAAATCCGACGATAAGCAACCTAAATATCCACTTCCCGCTGTAAGCCGCCATTTTAACCGCCGCCATTTTGAAAAGGACTGACATTTCTAGAAAACTAACGCCAGAATCGTTTTTCTCGTCCCAAAAAACTTTGGGATTCTGAGTTTCAGACCAATCCACCGATAATAAACGGAGATGCCAAAGAGGTTGTTCCATCCCCCATTAGATTTGGCCCCCTATCAAATATGATCCATCTTTTCAGGAGTGATACAGTAGCATGCAAGACGTTCAAATATGGCGGTCATTTTGACTTAGGCCCCCCCAGAGAGGGGGGGCGGGGGGTCAAAGACAAAACCCTCAACTGCCTAAAACTTTTGAGCGAAAAATCGGATTGAGTTGAACTTTTTTTTAAATGAAAGATCTCAAAAAGATCTATCTGCTGATACCAGAAAAATTGAAAAAAAGTCAAATTTAATGCAAATTTTTAGCAATTTTTC